ATTGGGGCTTCATGGAAGATGATGCGTTGCAGGCGCGCCGCTCTCATGATGGCTTCTTTAAGCTGGAAGGAGAGGAGGCAACATATCACGTCGCGTGGGAGGCCATCTCTCCTCGGGGGATGCAGAGCCCTGTGGGCGCGCTCTATGTGGTATGCGTCTGGGGCCTCTTCCCCTAAGATATGGTTAAAAAGCTGTAGGAGGACTTCCCCAAGGTCTTCATTTTCAGCTTCAGGGAGGCCTCTGACTCTAATGTTGTTGCGCCTCCCTCTATTGTCTAAATCCTCCATGTGACGAGAGCAATCTCGCCACATTGCATTGGAGAAGCCTGGTTGCTCGCCTATTGCCTTTAGACTATGGCCCCATGTTAAAAGACATCTTTTTTTCCCTGCAGAAAAGACCTATTCGTGCTTTTCTGCCTGGTGTTCGGTAGATTCAATCTACCGAACAACCGCACGAATGACTGGACCACCTGGGAGCTGGAGTGTGCCGGCAATTAGCCTCCCTGAAGCTGCGGTTAACCGAAGCTTAATTGATGAATGCTGGGTGGCCGCCATTCGTATCATGAACACGAGGTCGCGGCCATTTTAAACACGCGAACGCACAGCGGTGTTCGACGCTTAATTCGTGGAACTAAAATCGGACACAGTTTTGCGCGAACACCGCTGAAGCCGCCGACCTCCCTTCTTGTTCGGTGAAAGTGCACGAACGGCCTGGTGTTCGGTAGTTTTACTTGAATATGTTATACCCCAGATAGGAATCCCATGGAGCCAATTCGCATGAGAACTGACTGTGTAAAGACTTTAGCTCCATGGCGATTACACAGTATTCATGTGGTCTGAGCACCATTCGCTTAATAATGTGCGCTCAGACCTGAGCTATCTGGGGATATGTTAAATGTATAGTTTTAATGTAACATGTCCTACATGGTGTATTTTAACAGTAATTCATGTTTTAGTATCCCCACGTGCATAATGGTGATTTGCCTTTGTCTTGGGAGATAATGGAATGATTACTCAATTATCTCCAAGGCAGAGGGGAGGAAGCCAGGATGCATTGTGGGAATATAATGTGACTGTGTGTCCTATTTGTCTACTTGTCTGTCTTTTGTCACAGTCTCCCATTTGGTCCCCTAGGGGAGTGTCCACCAGGTGGGAGACCTGCATAAATACTGGGCAGGTAGCCCTCATTAAACAGACCACTGCTTGACCCTCAACACGGAGCCTTGTCTCGTCTTTTGGGGGATTTACTGAATGCTGATAGAGACTGATTGCTAGGAGTGTAAGCCACTTGGATGCTTTTCCTATTCGTCTGCTAGCAGCGATTAGTATGGTTCCAGTTCGTGTGTTTGGAGTGCTATATTGTATGCCGTTCGGGAGTTTGGAGCATTCCCTTATTGGCGGTTCGTGGGTTTGGTGTTCTACAATAGCTGTGCCTGCATCTCTGGAAAGGGGGACGATCGCCTAAACGTTTTTTACCCCTTGTGTGCAAAACGGTCCGTTACACTCCACTTGCCTGCGGAGCTCTAGGAGCACTGAACCTTGCCTGGCCGTGGCATGATCGGCAGCCTGGGAGTGCTGGATGGTCTGCAGGTTTTCCCTCTCCAGCTCTGTGACTTGTTCTTCAAGGGCTGTGAGATCCCTGCGCACCGCTAGTATCTCTTCCCGGATCGCCGCCCTCAGTTCCGTGACCATGGTAGTTTTATCATGTTTAGTAAGCATATTGGCCGAGATGGCCACTAGCTCAGCGGTAATATGCGTGAGAGCCTCTCCTCTTGCCGAGCCGTGCTCCGAGTCCGCGCCACTCTCTGCACCCGGGGAGGCGGCGGCCAATTTGTCAGCGGGCCACATGGCTTGGAGGCCGTCAGGGGTAGAGAGGAAATCATCCATCGGCCCTGCGTGCTTCCTCGGAGGGCTGTTGCCCGACAGTCCCGGGGTGCCCTGGCGTCTGGGTTTCCCCATTTTCAAACAGCAGTGTGGCTATTATTTTGGGCGATGTGGATCGGGGTAGCGGAGCTCCTGTGATGTACAGTTTACTCCATTTACCAGCAAGCCAGGCCCCTCCACAATCTTATTGTCTCAAAGTGCCTATATGATGGGTTGACACTCCCTGCACTTTTGAATTGTATATTTAAAGAGGTCAGAGAATAGTTAGATGTTGGCAAACTTTTGTGAGCCATTGTCACATCAGAAGAGTTTTTTTCTCAGAAAAAAATAGATGCAAACTATAGAGTCTCTATGGGCTGTAGAAGGTGAAGAACACCCTCTAGGTAGTCGTTGGATTTTGTCAATAATTATAGCCTCAGTAGTAAGATTTTGAAACATAATTTGCATGAATTCTTCAAAAAAAGTACCCCAATTCAATTTTAGGAATAGAATTCTAGAATTCACTGGTTGCTTGCATTATTGTTCATGTAATGATTTAAAATCTGCATCTTTTTGGTGTAGGATGTGTATTTCATTGAAGACAGCCGTATGTTGATCCATAAGGTGTGAGTCTACAGTTTTGTTCACTTTGGACTCAAACTTGTCATTACATTTCCTGAAATTATTAAAGGTTTACCCAAATTAAAACCAGTGCATTTATAAGACACTGATAAGAAAAATCCTTACACACCTCCAAAGAAAAAAAGGGAAGGCTGGCTACTGTTAATTATGTGCCTATTTGGCATCTTTAGTATGACCAAGATGACCAATTTGCACATAATTAAGGAACATTATAGTCACCAGAACAACTACAGCTTATTGTATTTGTTCTGGTGAGTATAATCATTCCCTTTAGGCTTTTTGCGGTAAACACTGTATTTTCAGAGAAAATGCAGTGTTTACATTGCAGCCTAGGGATAACTCTACTGGCCACTCCTCAGATGGCTACTAGATGTGCTTCCTGGGCACTGCCATTCAGTGTCTTCTCATCCCTCTGCATGGAGACATTGAACTTTGCTCATACAGATGCATTGATTCAATAAATTTCTATGAGGAGATTCTGATTGTCCATGGTTGCAGAGGTGGCTCTCTAATTAGGCGATTTAGGCGGCTGCCTTAGGCCTCATGCTGATGGGGGCCTCGCGGCTGCCTAAATCATCTCAGGGCAGACTACCATGTCGGGTCCTCGGTCACGACGTAGTCTGCAGCTCACTTGGAGGAGCTGTAGACCAGAGAGCCTGACCACCGAGGACAGAGGGTGCCCACAGGACCACCAGGGAAGGTATTTATGAACCCCTCCCCCTGTCTCAGCCACCTTCACCCCCCCTCCACCCCCCTATCCCCCTGTCACTGTCCCACCACCCCCTATTCCCTTGTCACTGCCCCTCCGCCCCCCTACCACCTGTTACTGCCCCTCCATCCCCCTACACCCTGTCACTGCCCCTCCATCCCCGTACACCCTGTTACTATCCCCATCACTGCCCCACCACTCTCCTACCCCCTGTTACTACCCCCTGTCACTGCCCCTCCACCTGCCTACCCCTGAAACTGCCCCTCTACCCCCTTCCCCCGTCACTGCCCCTCCACCCCCCTTCCCTCTGTCACTGCCCCTCCACCCCCCTACACAGTCCTGTCACTCTCACCCCCTCCAACCATACCAAACTCACCTGCCCTTGCTTTACCACAATTACTCTATCACATTAACCTCCCTCTATCCTGTCAGACTCACTTTCTCTTGCACTGTCGCACAGTCCCCAACCCTGTCACACTCATCCTATATCAGTCTGTCCCACTCACCCCCTTCACCCTGCCACACTCAAATAAGCCCCTCCAATCCTGTCCTCCAACTGTGCCACACTCACCCCAAACATTGTCACACTCTCCCCCTGTTAAGACAACCCTGGTGTCTTTAAGAGAAACCGCCGTTTAGTTAACCTTCCCCGTTCACAATATCAGTAACTCCGTTCGCATAGACTGCAGTATACGAACCACCATCAGGGGAAGCGGTAATCTCCCGACCGGGATCCGTGAAAGGCTCCAAACTCCCGAACAGGAATCCACGAACCGCCGCTAACCGCCGAATGAAGATATCCACCAAGCGGCTTTCGGTTCCAATAATCAGTCTCTAGGCATCAATAGTAAATCCCCCCAATAACGAGACAGAAGTTCCGCATTGAGGGTCAAACAGGATCTGGCTTTACTGTGGGCTACCCACTTGGTGGACACTCCCCTAGGGGACCAAATGGGAGACTGTAATGACAGATAGAAATGGGGACATTTCAGACATACAGATGTAAACATTTCCCACAATGCAATATGGTTTCCTCCCCTCTGCCCTGGAGATAATTGAGAAGTAATTCAATTATCTCCAGGACAAAGACAAATCGCAATCTTAAATAAAATGCCAGAAAACACACAAAAATATATAATTCTACAACTACCGAACATTTCACATTCGTATCACACATCCCAAGATAGCCTGGATCTGAGGGCATATTATTAGCGAATAGCGCTCAGATCCCACACACATAGTTCAATCGCCATGGAGTCAAAGTTCTTACAATCTTTCGGTATGCGATTGACTCCATGGGGAGGCTATCTGGGCTAATGCTTGTCGTGTGATTCCAAACTCCCGAACGGCTGGTGTTCGCATGCTTTCATCGATGGAGTAGGCCGACCCGTTGTTTCAGCGGTGTTTGGCAGAAAAAGTGTCCGTCTTTAGTTCCATGAAATCAGTGCCGAACACTGCTGGTCTTTCGTGTGTTTTAAAATTGCCGCTGCCTCGTGGTCGACATACGAACGACGGCCACCCTGAATTCGGTTTAATTGAGAAGTGTCTGCGGTTAACCACAACGTTCTAATTGGGATCAAGAGGTTAACCAGCAGCACACTTCTATCCTGGGTGGCCATCCGTACGGTAGATTTGTTCGGTGAAAAAGAGTCATTCGTATAGCTGGGCTATAGAAACAGCCATTTACACGAAGGAGGGCAGAAATAAACGAATCCACCACAATATACAGACAGATGGTTCTGTCACACCCCCCAACCCTGCCACCCTGCCAGGACTCGCCTCTGCTGGTTTCTCCAACATACACTCAGGAACAAGTAGAATACTCCAAGGGAACAGCCAAACACAGAAAATTACTCCAGGAATCTCCCCCCTCCTCCTCAGCAACTGGACGACACTCAGCTCTGGGGGTATAACTGGTTTTAATGGAGCCACACACTGCCTTTTATGAGTCCCCATGCAAGGGGTTTCTGAATACACATTCCAGGGGCATTCCCCACTGGACCTGAGAGTAGACTGATACAAAATACACAACATAATTACATTACCACTCAGGTCCAGGACATGCATAATAATAATCACCCCAAAACATACAGTTCCCCACAAGATTCCCCCTTAAGTCCTATATCCCCGGATAGCAGAGGGGACAAAATACGGACAGCCCATAGCAGGAATAAGGGTAACAGTCCAAGGTTCATTCCACTACACTCACCCTTTCACATTAAACTAATCCTGCCACATTAACCCCCTTAATCTTGTTACACTCACCTCCCCTCATTCTGTTACACTGCCTCCTCCAAACATGGCACATGGCACCCCATCCCTGTGATACACCCCCAAATACCACACACGGCCTGTCACATTAACTTCCTCCAATCCTGTCACACTCCCTCCTCCAACCATGTCACAATCGCCCCCCTATCATTCTCACTCTCCCTCGTTCTGTTACACTCACCCCCCTCACCCTGTCACACTCACCCTGCCACAGTTACCCCTTTACTCACCTTGTCACAGTTACAAACTGAAGACATTCATCATACACACATGTACAAAAGTCACAGGCAGCCCCTATAAACACCACACACCGCAGGCAGCTACCACACACACATACGGTCCCAGACACATATTAATAAAGACATACATTCACACACAAGGATACTCTCGGTCAGACACACACTTTCATGCACATACACAGGTAGACAATGCCGGACACACTCAGAAATACACACACTGGCAGTAATGTATACACAACTTCAAGGCTATGTAATCATACCCTGTAGTTGTGTGTAAATGATCAGCATAATTGATAATTACATTTGTTTATTGCAAATTAATTTAGCTTGAAAATTATGCCATAACTACAGTTGAAGAGCTCACAACACAGAGGCACAGGGAGCCACGACCCTGCAAGCCTCTGAACAATGAATACAGAGACTAACTCTCTGTATCCAGCGCTGCAAGCTTGTCCAATACACACAATGCAACCCCTATTTTTTTCCACTTTTGGGTGCCTCGTTTTGAGTTTCACCTAACAAAGTCTAGAGCTGCCACTGCAAGGATGTGTTTGGCTCTACCCCTGATCTGCCTCCTCGACAGCTCATCCAATCCTATGTGAAAGCATTTTGATTGGCTCAGAACAACACTTTTGATGATGTCAGCCAAGCAGGCAAATCAGGAGCAGAGCCAGCAGCTGCAGACTTGAACAAAAGTAAGATTTTACTATATTTAAGAGGGTAAAAGGGGCTCTAACACTATAGGGTTAGAAATACATGCTCTATAGGGTCAGTTTATTTAACAGTAGCCAGCCCAGTACTTTTATTCCAGGCTGGCTAATGAGACAGCCAGAGGTGGCACTGGGATATATTTTTTTCATTCTGAAACACTGCACAAACAGACTCTATGCATCATGATCACTTCAAATCACTGAAATGTTCATGACGCTTGGAGTAACCCTTTAATTAGTTAGCTACAGATACCACAAATAAAGGATTTTTGAAATCAACAGCAACAAAAAAAAGAGAAAGGGCTAGCAGAGTGCAAGCTTGAAGGGGGAACTCAAGGGAAGAGGGAAGGGGAGGAGGAAGGATGGCGGAAGATGGACAGCGGGGAGTGTGAAAGGGAGATAGGAAGATGGACAAAATTTAATTTCTCAAGAAAAAAAATAAAAAATACAACACAAAAAAATAAAAAACAACACAAAGGAAAAAAGAAAGGCCAAAATAGACGATACAATATCAAGGGGAAACAAAAGGGGACTGCACCACCATACAGGAAGCAAACACCCAGGGGAACACTGAGCCAGGGAGGACACTGAGAAGGGGTAGACTGGGAGGTGAGGGATTCGGGGAGAAGCTACAGGGAATCCCTGAACGAACCAGGACCATACAGAGTCATACTTTGCTACTGGGATGAAGGGGACAATGGCTGTAGACCCACAAGACGCCCACCAACGCACTCTGCATTCCCTACAAAAAAATGCACACACAGGAACTTGATATTTCAAGGCATAAATGCTTTTCGGGAAATACCACCACAACCAATGTCGGCTAGGTCCCACTGTTACTACCGTGCCTCAAGGTTGAAGAAAGGAGACTGGGAGAGGGGGGGGAAAATGTTGGGAGGAGGGTGCGGAGGGATGGGGAAAGGTGGGACAGGCCAAAAATTTTGCTGACAAGCGCTGTGATGCATACCCAGGCCCACCAGCGGAGACCCCAGACTGACTAGGCATGACCAAACCAACACCACCAGACCACTGTAAATACCCTGGACCCTGGACACTCAGCTACAACAAATCCTCCTAAAGAAGCGTATGCACCTTTACAGGCCCCCACCCCCTAGCACACTCTACAGGCCCCCACCCCGTAGCACACTGTAGCCACACTGAATGCACACACCAGTCATGAGGACGGATACCAAGAACAGGGAGCAAAAGAAGCTCAAGACACAGATAAGGACCAAGACCACTGATAGCGCAGGCCCCAGCCCAATTACCATACTGAGAGGTGCAGTGATACCCTGAACACACATGCCAGAATGAGGCATGAACCCACCACACCAACCCACGGCCGTGAGCGATCCCCTAGAGGACCAAACCGACAATCCATACCCGACTGTGACACCAGTATCGCCCAAGTCGACGACACAATCTGGGCGATGATTCCGGGAGCCCTACCCCCGACATGAACAGGACATTGCCCTTGGCAGTGTTTCCCTCCGGGAGTAAATCCAGGACCCCAGACTTGTGGGACCTGTGTCGCCCTACTACCTGAAACCTTGTACATTTACCTGCATCTATCCGCTGACTTAGAGGAAATGGACAAAGCCAATACAAATCTTCCCCTTTATCATCCCCCTTTTTTTTCTACTCTCTCACCCCCTTTTTCTCCTCTGAGTTTGACCCCTGCTTGCCGCCCTGGAGATGCCGGCACTGGGGGGGAAGCCCGATACGCCCGGGAGGATCTGGACCTCATTACCTACAATGTCCATGGCCTTAACGTCCGCAAGAAACGCTCTCGCCTCCTCTGCGACCTGAAATGATACGGTACCTCCATGGCATTTACAGGAGAACCTGGCACCTTAAAATATAGAACAGCAAATTGATTCCCTTTTTCTGTCCAGCACAAAGATAATTTTCACCCTATTATACCAAATATGTTTGGTAGGGGGCGGGGCCGGGCCGATGGGCCGACTGCATGGGCTCCACTTGCATGGACTCCAGCAGCAAACCACCTGCAACAGCACCAAACCTGTTTTTAAAAAAAAAGTAAAACCTGCCGCATCTTGAAGGGGGAAAGCCCCGACACCCACCCGATACCCGCATGAAGCAGAACGTGTGGCAGGCGGGCGGAGAGGAATGGGTCCGGCCTACACGTGGCCTTTGAGCACCGGCTGCCATTGCATGCAGCATGGCACCGTGAAATGGCGCAACACAAAGCCAACCCGCAGCAAGGCAAACATCCCTGGCATGGGGGGATATCCCGGCCACATGGTGGCGACAGGTACCACAGCGGGAGCCCCCGCATGGACACTATGCCGACTACCTAAACTGACAATGGCAAAGAGACAGCCAGCCAGCTGTAATGGACATCAAAACTGAGGAGAAATATACTAAACTGAGAAAACGGAGGTGATTCAAGTAGACACAGAAGCTCAGGAGGATCTCCATGGGCTGCGCCATACTACGGACATGGCTTCTCCTCAAAGGCACCATTAAAAGAGGAGTGCAGAGGCACCAAAGGAAACAACCCACCATGGAGAGACAACCTGGACAGCTGGTGCTACCCGGCCCCTGATGGACCCCCCGCGATGCCTGCCGACCCGCAGGAAAAGTGAGTGCCCGGGCCTCTGGGTCTGGGAGGTCCCCAGAGAGCCATGTCCCTGATGCCGAGAGCCCTGTGGGGTGGGTCTGCGCGGTCCTTCCGGTTGACCTGTGGCCGGGGGCGGCATGCACCGGCCACAAGTATGAGGCCAGCACCGGAATCTTCACTGGGTCTGGGGTGGTGATGGGGAGGTGCAGGGAACGGGTGGCCCGCAGACTCTAGGTGTGGGGGTCCAGCGGATCATCTCTGCTCCCGAGTGCCCACAGCATCGCGGAGGACTCAGGAGCTGGGCAGAGACCGTCCCGGAGGGGACTGACGGAGACTCGGCGCACCACGGACGAGCCATGAGAGGCCCTCATCGGACCGACATTACGAACAGCTCTGCTCCCACACTGTTATAGTTCTTACAGTTGTTATATGTTTTTGCATTCCCTAATATCGCATGCCACAGATATGACGTGCTATGCGCTACCAATGCACCCTACAACACAATGTACTTGCACAAACCAACTCAGATATTGGCGCCCTACGGCATTCAGAGGCAATCTGGTATGCAGCCTGTAGCGGAGGGCCACGAGCTGCCCTGGGACTTATTTATGTTTAAACGGTATTTGTCTATTTGGTAAATGTCTTTGCAGTAAGGGGATTATGATGCAGGCTGAGGGGAGGAGATGTGTGGGAGGTTACCAGGACAGGATTGGCTACTGTACTAATGATTGTAAATCCCTCCCTTGCATGGGAGCATGCTTTAAAAGGACAGTGTGGATTAAAAGATTTCAGTTCTGCTCCTGAAACTGTGTGTCGTCCAGTTATTGGGATTGCTGTGGGATATTACTGTGTTATTTTGCCTGCTGGAGACCTTGCCTATGGATTTACAATTTCCTGGCCATATCCATGGCAGCACAACAATGGGTTAGCTCCTCCCTATCCCTAATTAGACAGGAACAGAATAAAAATCAGGGGTATAAATACCCCCGCCCACCAATAGTCCCTTTTTTTTCCTGTCCTATCCCTATAGGACTCCAGTCATTATAGACTGTGAACACACATTTTTTTCTTTGGCTTACCTGAGGGTTTTTACCTTCGGCCCCAAGGGAGTTCAGCCTCTCTTCCTTGGGAAGTCTCCAGTACGTGGCCCTGCGCAAAGGGTAACCCCCTGGAGATGCTCCTTTAGTGACCGGGAGCCACTTGCAGTGACCCTAGGGGTAGCAAGAAAAATATTGCCAATAAGGAACATGCCCTGCAGTAACCAACCGGTAGCAGG